CTATGACTTTGGCATTTCTCGTGTCATAAAGAGTCTTGAGCCATACAACAAAAAGGTAGTCGATATTTCATTTAATGTTTTTAATTATTAAAGACCGCACATAAACTTTCATATTCCTTACTTGCTGTATTTATCTTAGTCCTGCTCGGTTACCATCCTCAACATGTTATTTTTGTGTGTCCACAAATATCCACTGAAGAGGTCTTTGCTGTTTCCAGCTGCATAAACAGTGTTACTCAAGGACCTCAGCATTCTTGAATCTCATGATACTGTAGCATATGTACAGCATTGGATTGCTACTGCATTTCCTTTTAGTCTCAAGTCCAGCTGATGTTTACTGGTTTTACTGATGTGATTTCCATGTGATATTATGTCGTTATTGTGCTTGATGTGACACTGACATCCTATGATTTCAGCTTGGAACAGACACGTGGTTCTACGCTAAGAGATGTTTTCTCTCACTGCTGGAAAACATGGCCAAGCACATGATCATGCTCAGGGATTCAGTGGTACAAGAGTGCATTCAGTTCCTTGAGCACTGTGAATGTAAGTATATCTTGTAAAGAGATGGTTTGATCCCACAGATAGAAGCTTTAAAATGGGCGCTGTATCCTGTTTCATATGTAGCAGGACTGTGTCAATGCAGAGCTTTAATCCTCCAGTAATATGCACAGTATCAAAATCTAATCCAGTGATTACTTGTTGTTTTGATTGTTTAATTCAGTGGGGATGAAATGCTGGTTTTTGAAAGCTGAGATGCTAATTAATTTTTAATCCTGAGATTCTCCATGGGATTAATTACTTTTTTTTTTACCCTCCCCTCTAGTGTACGGAAAAGATGTGCCTGCCATCATAGAGCAGCCTCTGGAGGAGGACCGCATGCACATTGGCAAGAACACCGTCACGTATGAATCGCGCCTGATAAAAGCTCTCTTCTGTGAAGTCACAGGATGGAATGAGTAGACATTAAACATCCTATAGCTATATTAGAACAAGATATTGGGCAAATATTCATTACAGACCACAGTTTTCTGACTGGCGTTTTAAAGCCTAAAAGATTTCATGGCTGGATGGTGGAATGACTAATAAGACATCTCAACATGGCTACTTTCTAAGCAGCTTTGGAGAGATCATGCTGTTTCTGGACGGAAGTCAAACATTAATTTTTAAGCATGCATTCACTGTAATAATGAACCCACAGGGGTCCACTCCCTCCAAACATGAAAGCTTAAACTAAGAGAAAATATTCACCAACAAAGGGCATTTTATTTATTTAAACTAACCTCTGTTTGCATTAAAATAATAGCATATGCCTATATTTAACCTTTTATGCACAGTTCATTATCATTAAAATTGTATAATTTGGTTATTTTTCCTCAGAATAAGAAATGTATCATAATACTGTACATTTTCTTTATTTGATACAAAGTATACATTTTCATTCGCCTTTCTCTTTGCCTTTCTTTGAATCATGTTGTTTTACCTATATAGCATTAAATCTACCACACATTCACAGAGAACTGATCATCGAGGAAATAATAAATCCCAAATGTATCTATAAAACCTGATAAAGAAGGAAATTGAGTTCTGTAACTATTATCTCATGAAGCATGGCCCTTAAATTAAAGGTCTCTTTGTTATGTCCTGCTCTGAAAGGTAATAGTTGAGAAAACCTCCTAATGCACCCACTGCAACTCCTGTCATATGACTTGAGCAGCCATCTATGAAAAGAAACATGTGTTAGTTTGAAACACATAATCACGTGACATTAATTAAATAATAATTATTTTTTTTCTTCCAGCAACTGCAACATTAAAGGAATGGTTCACCTACAAATGAAAATTTGCTTAAAATGTACTCACCCTCAGACAATCCAAAATGTAGATGAGTTTGTTTCTTCATCGGAAAGCATTTGGAGAAATGTAGCGTTACGTCACTTGCTCACCAATGGATTCTATGCAGTGAATGGGTGCCATCAGAATGAGAGTCCAAACAGCTGATAAAAATCACAGTTTTTGACAGTTTGGCCAGTTTTCGTTTAACAGTGTTTGATCTGTGCATATTTCTCTCCTGATTCAGATGAGACCACTTTTTTGAAGTTAAAAATGTCTTGATGAATTTGGTTATTACAAACACACAGCTGTTCGTTTCACAAGATGTTAACTGATGGACTGGAGTTGTGTTGATTACTTGTGGTGTGTGATGTTTTTATCAGCTGTTTGGACTCTCATTCTGACGGCACCCATTCACTGCAGAGGATCCATTGGTGAGCAAGTGATGCTGAATTTCTAAAGAAACAAACTCATCTACATGGATGACTTGAGGGTGAGTAACTTTTCAGAAAATTTTCATTTTTGGGTGAACTATTGTTTTAAGAGCAAACAAACACCTGTCAGTGTCTTTTCTCTTCTTTTCACCCGTTTGTGAGGGGCATCCAAGAATTCTTCAAAGATCTGGGAGATATCCTCTGAGTGGGGAAAACAATATGCAACATAGAGTTTGATCTACACCTGTATGGCTTAAAGATTTTGTTTAATATCCAGTCGTTAAACATTAGGACACGATTTTACATATATTTAAAATGCTTTTAACTCACCTTCTTTGCCAAAACAGCCTGCTTCTTGGTCTTGCCATGTTAGAATAGACTGTAACCAGTCCAATTTATAGAAGTCTGAGAATCCCACTAAACCACATAAAAGGACTGCAAAATAAATAATTTAGTTGGGAAAAAAACACACAGTAAGTGGATCTTATCTATAAGATGTGACCAAATCTTTCTCCAATAATTTGTTCATAACCCTATTGTTCTACTAACTGTTTTCTATAAAGATGTCCTGCATTTGGCCAGTAATCGCATTCTTGAAAATATCCTGGTTGCTTTTCATCATGTTGGAGCAGAAGATTCTCTTATAATGTTCCACAGTTATGTTGACACGAGACAATCTCAGGTCCCCCTTGAGCATTCTGGAGCACCCTTTCTGTGGACACAAGTGTCAGACTGAAACCACACAGATTTATTTCAGGGTGCATCAGAAAAGTATGATCATTTCTCTTCTTAACAAAAGGTAAACAATCTTTGGCTAATACTACAGTAAAGATTAAAGGGATGCCTTACCATCATTCCTATCATGAAGTACAGTAGCTGGTGGGACAGGGAATAGTGTGGACATCCAAACTGTGTCATCGTGTCTCTACAAGACTTCGTCACAATACATGGGGTTCCATTGTCTTTCCTTTCAATAAAATAATAGTTACGGTATTGACTGTGATTTTTACAACTTTTTGATGCTGTTTTTTTCTTTTATGCTACAATCTTCTTACCATGTTCCTAGAAGGAGAGTCATGCACTTGTCACTCAGCTGCTCATCATAGCACTCCATAGACCTCACTGAGGTATAAACAAGTGAGGGATCGGCGGAGCTCCATTCTGCAGGCAGGGACCAAAAGGAGCTGTCCAAAATGGGCTCAAACTCTGTAGGAGAAACAGTGCATACTTTCTGTGCCATTATTAGATGGTTTCGAATATATATATATATATATATATATATATATATATATATATTGCCCCCAAAGAGCATTACCTTTGAAGTATTTGGGGTCTGACTCCTGAAGAGCGCTGACGGCAGTAGAAAGGCTCTTGTTCAGTCTCTTCAACATAGAAACGGCAGCTGCGCGCTGAGAGAGACTCAGAAAATCTGAATGCGGCCAAGTTCGTGTTGCCTCCTGCAGCTGCGCTGAGTTATATAAGCAGAAAGAAGAATAATGGGGAATCATTGATGGACGGTTTACTTCAGATGTTCAGCTCAGTGGATTTTGGGAATCCAAAGTGTTTAACCCTCCAAAGGAAAATGCTGGGGTCCAAAAATGCTTTCTTTTTAATACATTTGTTTGCTTAAACTTATCTTTAAACGTTTTCAAACAACTTTGTAGCAACCAGAAAAGTTGCATGCCAAGTTCTTCTGCCAGAGTGCGCTAAATATGAACGGAATCAGTCGCGTTGAACTGATGCAGTAACTCTAGAAACAGTGCGCAGCGCCGCTTGCTCGAGCGCTTGCAGCTCATTATGTGACAGTTAATTTCCTTTACTGCATTTACATATAACCAATATAATCAACGTCTTTAAGGTCAATTATGTTAGTTAACCGGCGCCTAAAGTTAAGAAAAATACTGACAGAAATTGCATTAAAAAGGCAATACAGTGCTCGATTTTTACAGCCGAGTCCAATGTCGGTCCATTGCAATGAACGACCAGAGAAAAAAAAAATACAAATAAAAAATTGGTAACATGATCTTTATAAAGTTGAACCAATGTTCAAAATTTAAACGTACAGTGGCACTCAGCCAATCGAGTAATCAAAGTGATAAAAAAAAAGAAACATGTCCAATCTGTAAAATGATGGCTTACCTTGAAGTATTAGGTATCCAACAACCCCGTCCAGGTTGATGTTTCTGCCCTGCATGTCAAAGTATGTGATTCCCTTGGATAAACTCATAAGTATGTTATCAATCACATCCTGGTTTGATAATTCAATTGTAGACGAGAGAACAAGAAACACAAGGAAAGGATACCACATTTTAAGACCTTTGAGAATACAAAATGAACAGGGAAAATAGTTATGGACGAGTGGTCTATCCAGCAGCTTTTTCCTTATTTGGAAGGGGAAGCAGCTTGTCATAGCAACCCCATCACCTCACGTGGCTCAGGTCCGCTGAAGTAAACCCTGTGGTACCACATAGTTCGAATATTATTGCTGAGTGGGATTTCTCCTCATTCCTTGGTGTTTTTAATCATTTCCAAGTTTCTTTCTTTCTTTTTAAAAAGTTCACTAAAATCTTGTATTGTAACTGCATCATCTGGCTGCTAATAACATCTTTCTGCTCCCATTCCTTGCGGTTACACATATAGTAGTATAAAAGTTTTCTGAAAAGGATAATATCCTCTCGCAACTTAGTCTTTGGCATTTTATAAATGTTTCACACATTCCTCTTTATAATTTCTTAGTCCTGATGTCACTAAAGAGTACATTGAACTGACAGCCTTCACAGAGCACAATAGTCAGACAGGTGCTGTGACGCGCTCTGCTGGACGTCCTGCTCTGCTTATCAGCAGCACCAGCTGGACTGGTCAGTGCTGTCCACACTGATCCATAGGGATATTATCCTTCATTCCTTTAACTGAAGTGTCCTAACTCTTCATTATTTATGTTTTTATGTTCAGAGGATGAAGACTTCTCAGTTCTTTTACAAGCTCTTGAAGGTTATTATTATTATTATTATTTCTCTCCATATACACTACTGTATTGTGCTTTTTGGGGTCAGTAAGATTTTTTATTTAAAAAAAAAAAATACATATATTCATATACGCATTAAATTGATCAAAAGTGACAAAATACAATTAGTAAAAAAAAAAAAAAATTATTTTGAATGTTTTTTGTTTTGTGTCATTTTTTTTCTTTTGAACTTTCTATTCATCTAAGATTCCTTTGAAAAGTATATCAAAGTTTCCACAAAAATATTAAGCAGAACAGCCGTTTCCAACATTGATAATCATATTATAATGATTTTTGAAGGATCATGTGACACTGAAGACTGGAGTAATGATGCTGAAAATTCCACTTTGCCACCACAGGAATTAATGTCATCTTAAAATATATTACAGTAGAAAAGTTATTTAAAATTTTAACACATTTCACAATATTACTGTTTTTACTACATTTTTAATAAAAACAAACTTTTTATATATATTTTTTTTAATCTTACCAACCTCACACTTTTGAACTGTAGTGTACCACGACCTTTTCTGTAATTTACAGTTGTATGTTTATGTATTGAAACTTATTAGACCATGTAATCTTCAACATTTGATTCTTTCTTTATCCAATAGAGTATGAGAAGTTTGTAGAGGCAGGACACAAACTTCCATCATTGGTTTGTGTGATTACAGGTACACGCCACAATGTCTAATATGTATAAATGTCCATAAAATCAGCTGTGGACCAATGCCTCTGTTTGTGTGTTTCAAACACTGTGATTTATCAATATAGGTAAGGGTCCTCAGAAGGACTATTACAAGAAGCTGATTGACTCTAAAGAATTTCATCATATCAAGATTTGCACTCCATGGCTGGAAGCAGAGGATTATCCAGTTTTACTTGGTGAGAGGATCTCTTTAACAGCATTATAAACTTCATAGACCAGGAATTGCTGAGTGTCTTGACCTAAAACACACGTATTTACATGAGTATGATGTTTTTGGCACAGGTTCCGCTGATCTTGGGGTCTGCTTGCACAAATCCTCCAGTGGTCTTGACCTTCCAATGAAAGTGGTCGACATGTTTGGTTGTTGCCTGCCAGTCTGTGCCATACACTTTCAGTGGTAAGATTGTGAGACTGGTCTTTTATAGTAGGTGTGGGTTATGTAAGGTGTCATCTGCTCATTATCTGTATCTTGTTAGCTTGCATGAGCTGGTGAAACATGAGGAAAATGGGCTCATTTTCAAAGACTCCAAGGAGCTGTCTGAACAGTTAAAGGTAAGACATCTATTGATTAAAAAACTGCTCTATATGACTTTCAAGATTCAAAAGGTGTTGTTTCTAACTTACTAAAGCATTAAAATACCATAATATGTTTGCATATATTTAGGAAACATGTTAAGGCCCAATCCCAATTCTATTTCATACCCCTTCATCTACCCATTGAAACAGAGTGTCAAGGGGTAGGGGTGAAAATATTCCCCTAAGAAATGGGACACCACTACTACACCATTACATGTCATCATACGTCGTTGCTAGCTGCTACAACACACACACACACACACACACACACACACACACACACACACCATGGTCTGTATGAATACTGGTGTGTATTAGAGCAGCACAGACACACATAATTCACTCACGCAACTTTAATCTCTCTCTCAAAATGGCCATATTTGAGAAAAAAGAGATTTCTAATTATTAACTAAGTTCACATAATTGTTTCTCCAAGAAACAGTCCTACAGCCAGTTATTCGACTTTTGAAATGTGTGTTCCGTGTCGAAATGTCGGTTTTTTTTGGTCTGTGTGATTCTACCCACTGCCAGTTTACCCAATAATGTTTCGACACCTTGGGTTGCCAGTTGGCAGAAAACTCAGCGTATTGCCGCAAACGAACTGGGTCAGAGATCGCAGATTCTAACGGACCTAAAAAGCCTCAGCATCCATCTAAAAAGCTCTATGATCATAGGCATATTAAAGCACAGATAAACCAACTCATTAGCTTACAGTGTAAGGCTCGTTGCCTTCCATTGTCACTTGCGCTTTTTCCTGTTGTTCCTCAATCTGAGGAGGGAGCAGGAGAAAAAAAATATTTTGAATTTGGACTGCAGTACCCATTTCAACCACTAGCCTCATGTCAATATTACATGACCTTGCTAATATAAATGTGGCAAATGCTTACAACTAATTCTGTTATCTCTGTAGCTTCTGCTTTCAGACTTCCCTAGTGATCAGGGGAAACTGGGCATCTTCAGGAAGAATCTAAGGGAAAGCGGGCAGCAGCGCTGGGATGAGAACTGGGACCATAACGTCCTGCCACTTATTAAAGAGCACTGTGACTGACTGTCTAGGTGATGGGTTTATCTAACGTTCTCTCAAATCCTTTGACTCCCATTCAATGGAAAGTTACTGTCAGGTATTTGCACAGGGTACACAATTTTAAGCTAACTGTCCCCACAACGGGACATTCAGCATTCCAGCAATGCAATTGGGAAAGACTTGAATATGAGAATAAAAAGCACACTATCCTTGTAAATATTATGTAAATAAATACTTTACTACAAAGAGATGGTTTCTGTCATACATATATTTTGATCATTTCTATAGTGGAGGCTCGGTTGTATGGAAATACTTGAGGAACAGAATCTTTCATAATGTCTCATAATGTCCCATTTCTGTAAATTAAAGAAACATTTTATTCATTATGGAGAATCAGGAATTATGAAAACATTTTACATCGACAGTGTAACAGAATAGAATATTATTAATAATATGAAACCTACCTAATTCTGTCTTGAGGCAGTCATACGTCTGTGGGTTACGTACAGTAGATGCAATGTAAACATCAGGATGTTCTTCTTGAACTTTGCAGTTCAGAAGCCTGCTCAGCAGTCTCACCAAACAAGCAATTATACCAGGATCATACATACATTTGAAATCTGTTTCAAACAAACACCGTAACGTTACTCAACTTTTCAAACATCATCATTTCATTTGATTAGACTTGATTCAGAGACCTTTTAATCACTGAATGAAAATAAATCACATATGAAACTATAATGTGTGTGTTCCTGCAAATATCCCTGGGTTTTGTGTCACTTGCGGCAATGATGGTGCCGGCCTGTATTCTTGCAGCTGTTCATCAGACACATTTTCCCAGTCCAGCTCCTCCACGCACACTGACGTTCTGTTGCTGTCACAGTTAGTTAAGCAGTTTTTGATATTGTCCTTCAGCCTCTGAAGCACAGTTTGATGGCAGTCACTGAAGATGTATTTGGTTAGGCTGGATGACCGACACACTACAATGCCGATAAGTCCAATTCCGCTACCCAGCTCTAGAACCGTCCTGCATGTACAGCACAGGGGTGATCAACAGTATGCACTTATAGTTGCATGCTAATAGAATAATTCAAACAATTAACTACATAGTCATTTCAATTAGTTTTTCTATAAGTAGCTGCAGTAGTTCTTTGAATGTTTCTCACACTATTCTAAGTCTCTTTTATGTTCACCAAGGCTGCATTTATTTGTTCATAAATATAGTAACACAATAATATTGTGAAATATTATTACATTATTTTAAATAACATTTCTGTTTTGATTTATTTTAAAATGTAATTTATTCCTGTGGTGCGGAGCTGAATTTTTAGCCATTTCGTTGGTCTTCATTGTCACATGATCCATTAGAAATCATTTTGATACGCTGATTTGCTGCTCAAGACAAATTTATAATCAATATTGAAAACAGCAGAGCTGCTTAATATTTATGTGGAAACCTTGATCATTTTTTTCACGATTTTTTTGATGAATAGAATGTTCAAAAGACCAGCCAAAATATTATAACTTCCAGGTTTAAAAAATGTCTGATTAAAAACTAAACAACAACTACAACGGCACAGAGTTGTGAAGTGTCAGACTTGCTTGTTTTTGAAGATGTGTGTATTTTCCAACGCCCATTCAGACAGGTATAGGGCAGCCTCCCAGGTAACCAGACCTGTGGTGCCTTGAGAGATGAGGGCCACATTCTCTGCTAGACTAACAGCATCTCCTGTTGGCTGAGATTTTATACTGTATTTTGTTAAAATGTATAAATGTCTTTAAGGTCCAGTACTAATGTGATCAGACTCACCAGTAAGTAGGTTTTGTAGCACATGTCCTCCTCCTGTGCACACATGACTTCACCGAGCGCTTCATACAGTACATCCAGAGGTTCAGCCGCAAACATCTTGTGCTACAAAAAAATGAGTCTTGTGAAAATAAGCAGGATCTCAAAATATGTGGGGGGAAAAAATTATAAAAGTCTTATTGTATATGATTGTAAAGAAACTAAACCAACCCTTTTTATCAATTCAGTTAGGAAACGTATTGTGTATTTCAAATAGGGGGGATTCTTGAGACAAATGGGATGTAAACATGTCTGCCAAAAAATTGGGGGAAGAATTACTTTCATTTTATCAATTAAATAATTATTTCACTTTCATAACAGCTTGTTTACCTTCTGAAGAATGTCCACTATGATATCCGAAGTTGTTGTAGTCCTAATATCTGTCTAAAGACTGCAAAAACATTTTGCGTTATTAATGGAAGACATAAAACAATTCTGAAGTCATTTCTTTCTTTCTTTTTTTAATAGTTTTATTTTCAGTTTTTTTTTTACAGTTTATTTTTTGATACAGACAAAACATACTAACATTACAACTGTCATTTTACATTTTGGAAAACCAAATAACAGAAATAAAGAAAGGGTGAAAAAGAAACGCAGCTCATATGTAATTAGTTGTACAAATAATCTTAAGTAATTTCTTAATGCATTAAGGGCATGTTGCAATGTTTTACTTGCATCCCATGGAAATGTATTCAAAAGACTCATAGCGAAGAAGTTCATTTGAAAGGTGTGTAGAACGTCCTTTCTTGTATGGTGGCCCATTCCTTCCCCTTCTTTAAATGTCATTGGATGTGTATAATTCATATTTCAATTTCATACAAGTCTGCTTGCTGCTGTTATTTTTTTTTATTATTGCTTAATGTACATAAGACAGGGAACAACCAACAATGCAAGACACTTCCATTGAGACAATCACAGAGTTTACATTAAAGAAGAAGAGAAAAAAAAAAAATTATATGAAGGAGGGTTTACTTTTTTCCATTTACAAGTATGGATATGATATTTACCCATCAACAAAACAAAATTGACAACATCAGAGAAGGATGAATTTAAATCACACTTAAAAAAGAGGACATCTTGTTGGGTTATAGGAGGAATTGTCTCCATTTTTACTGACAACCAGCTATGTATATCGAACCAAAATTTAGAAGAAGCCTCACAGTAAAAGAAAAGGTGATCAAGTGTTTCAGGAAATGAAGAACAGAAACCACAAGGATCCACCTCGAAATGAAATCGTTTTTGTATAAAGTCACTAACTGGGTAAATCCTAAACATAATTTTGTAATGAGTCTCCTTGACCTTTGGAGCAACTGGGTATGCCATATAACGGGTAAAAGCTTTGTCCTTTACTGAGGTTTCAACATCTCCCAGAAAATAACACTGATAATCTCCAGTGATAATACGTTTAAGTTCTTTGTAAATAAGTTCGTTATTACACTTACTGTCTAAAAGGTCAACATTACATATTTTCAAAGAGGGAAGAGAAAATATGCTGCTGTTATTTCTAGAGACTACGGAAGATGCATATGTGAATTCCATAGTGAATTTCTTCGTGTGTGTCAGTCCACATGTTGTGGTTGCAGCGCCACCTGCCGGGTTGGCTGTGCATCAGCGTCAAATCATATGGCTGTGCGACTTTACTGGCTTGCAAGACTAAAAGCCCCGCCCACAAGAATCTCAGCAAGTAGATGTTCCTTAACCTATATAACTTAAAGAAAAATACTTCCACGATGTCTAAATATTAGAAAATGTTCAACATCTGTGCTTATACTTTAAGTTAGTCATCTATTTATTTTTTTTTTTTTACAAGACATACGTTTTCAAAACATAGATTGTTCTAATGTGAATCCGAAAGGTAAGATTGATTATAATTTGGTTAACTGCTAGTTAGACAGACATAGAGGCTAAGTTTATGCAGCTGCCCCCTGTCATATTAACTATGCATTTCATATGCAATTTTAACGGGGCAGAGTCAAAAACTTCCTGGGGCCCCTGAAACCCATGGCGGCGCCCTTTGGGCGGGGCTTGGCATAGCCATAGTTTGGAAGATTGCAGGACACAGAGAGACTGCTCTCCTCCTGGCTGAGCATCTTGATGATGATCATGATGGTAATGATAAGGAAGATAGGCATGCAGCTACTACTTGGGGTTGCTGCTGCCAAAATATTTTATTGCCTGTGCGTAACTGTATATAAATACCGTATTTTCTCAGATGACAAAACCGAGATCCTAAAGTCCTGTTTTGGACTTGGACCAATTAATCAGAAATTTCGGTCTGTGTGAAAAAAGTGCATATGCAGGCCACTGTTTAAAAACATATTAAAGGGGTCATATGATGCTGCTAAAAAGAACATTATGTTGTGTATTTGGTGTAATGCAATGTGTTTGTGTTTTAAGGTTCAAAAAACATTATTTTCCACATAATGTAAATTTTTGTTGCTCCTCTATGCCCCGCCTTTCTGAAACGCGTCGATTTTTACAAAGCTCATCGGTCTGAAAAGCGAAGTGTACACTGATTGGCCAACTATCCAATTCATTGTGAATACCTCAAGCGTGTGACGGAAATGTTATGCCCCTTACTATACTGTGATGATACCCTGTGTCCCGGTGCGACAAGAAAAAAACAATAAAACCCATTACAAACGAGGCATTTGTTGCATCCAGTCGGGACATAATTACTGATTTATACTGACTTATACTGTCTTTTTACTTTTAAACAAAAACAATGTCTGGAGAAAAGACAAACAACAAGCACTACTCTACACTGCTCAAAACTCGCGTTTGAATCATCAGTGGCATATTCTTTAAATATAAAAAAGTAAGTGTAAATACAACTTAACCACTGATTTCTAGTTGTGTCCTCTTTTGGAAGGCCAAACTAAGTAGTTTCGCTTTCACAACGAAACACACAGCGTCACACACGGCGGGTTAGAGTGAGCGGCGGCCGGCGACCTAGAGTGAGGAAAGGAGCGGCGGGCTAGAGTGAGCAAAGTGCACTCTGCGCGAGCACAACGGTTGAGTTAGCGCTGTGGGCGGGCTTGCGGCAACCACATGTGACGACCCTGGGCTGGACTCCGCTTTGTCCACGGTGAAAGCCGATCCGGCGATTCACAGCGCGGAGTTGATGTATTTCCTCAGCGACCAGCACGGATCAGCTCTAGGCATGACGAAGCGGATATCGTCCTCTTTTCGCTTTCACAACGAAACCCACAGCATCTCCACAACATGGTAGACATACCCTAAGTAGGGTACCCTGTAGTAACAACAATACTACAGCGAGGATAAAAGTTACACCTTCTTTCTTTGCGTGAACATTTGGGCGGCGTTATGCAAATCTTCCCACATCGTGACGTAGACATGTGGGGGCGTGTTAGAATGAGCCATTTTAGGTAGGCGTGGTTGACTCTTAACTTTTATAAATAATATCTCTTTGGATTTGAGACTCTTTGCAACTCTACAGATCTTCTTTATGCACCAAGAGCTTGTAAGACTTCAAAGAGAAAGGAAAAATTGAAATCACATCATATGACCTTTTAAACTATTCCCTGTAGGCTAAAATTGACTTGTATTATGCTGACATTGTTTCTTTCATATTTCATAGCCATTTAGTGGTCCCCGGAGCTTCTCAATTCTCTAAACCATTTCCTGCGTTTGCGGTCATATCTTGTGACTAAGGCATCCTGGAGCCCTATGCAAAAAAACGTGTTGTTAGTCTAAGACATAGCTAATGTAGGAATAAATAAATAAACCGAATTGTTAATGTGTTGAAATGCTTGTGTGTACAGTTTAGATCAAGCAAACGACACTGTCGTGTTAAAATGCTCGTCAGTTTCACAAAGCAGCGCAAATTGGCAGTGCCACACCCTCGTGTCAGCAGCTCCAAAATACTGAGTATTCCAGCACACAGACCACAAATACATCACCTCTGATTCCAACTCATCATGACTTATTTTCGATACATGATCAATATATTTTACAACGTGTGACAATTCTCAACCAATTCATAAGCATGTCAGTTATATTAGGCTTTTAATCATCTTGAAAACTGAAGCCAGTTGTTTCAATAAAGTTTTAATAAGTAGATTAGTTATGGGCTACAAGCGCATAATTACATTAATTATGTTCTGTTCGAAACGTACACCAGCATTCATTGTGGTTATGGTCGTTTGTTTTAATTATTCAGATATATTTATAGCGTATTACCAGGGTATGTCTAGAAATAGACTACATATAGTAAACCCACATGCCTTTTTGCGATTATGATATTTACCCATCAACAAAACAAAATTGACAACATCAGAGAAGGATGAATTTAAATCACACTTAAAAAAGAGGACATCTTGTTGGGTTATAGGAGGAATTGTCTCCATTTTTACTGACAACCAGCTATGTATATCGAACCAAAATTTAGAAGAAGCCTCACAGTAAAAGAAAAGGTGATCAAGTGTTTCAGGAAATGAAGAACAGAAACCACAAGGATCCACCTCGAAATGAAATCGTTTTTGTATAAAGTCACTAACTGGGTAAATCCTAAACATAATTTTGTAATGAGTCTCCTTGACCTTTGGAGCAACTGGGTATGCCATATAACGGGTAAAAGCTTTGTCCTTTACTGAGGTTTCAACATCTCCCAGAAAATAACACTGATAATCACCAGTGATAATACGTTTAAGTTCTTTGTAAATAAGTTTGTTATTACACTTACTGTCTAAAAGGTCAACATTACATATTTTCAAAGAGGGAAGAGAAAATATGCTGCTGTTATTTCTAGAGACTACGGAAGATGCATATGTGAATTCCATAGTGAATTTCTTCGTGTGTGTCAGTCCACATGTTGTGGTTGCAGCGCCACCTGCCGGGTTGGCTGTGCATCAGCGTCAAATCATATGGCTGTGCGACTTTACTGGCTTGCAAGACTAAAAGCCCCGCCCACAAGAATCTCAGCAAGTAGATGTTCCTTAACCTATATAACTTAAAGAAAAATACTTCCACGATGTCTAAATATTAGAAAATGTTCAACATCTGTGCTTATACTTTAAGTTAGTCATCTATTTTTTTTTTTTTTTTTACAAGACATACGTTTTCAAAACATAGATTGTTCTAATGTGAATCCGAAAGGTAAGATTGATTATAATTTGGTTAACTGCTAGTTAGACAGACATAGAGGCTAAGTTTATGCAGCTGCCCCCTGTCATATTAACTATGCATTTCATATGCAATTTTAACGGGGCAGAGTCAAAAACTTCCTGGGGCCCCTGAAACCCATGGCGGCGCCCTTTGGGCGGGGCTTGGCATAGCCATAGTTTGGAAGATTGCAGGACACAGAGAGACTGCTCTCCTCCTGGCTGAGCATCTTGATGATGATCATGATGGTAATGATAAGGAAGATAGGCATGCAGCTACTACTTGGGGTTGCTGCTGCCAAAATATTTTATTGCCTGTGCGTAACTGTATATAAATACCGTATTTTCTCAGATGACAAAACCGAGATCCTAAAGTCCTGTTTTGGACTTGGACCAATTAATCAGAAATTTCGGTCTGTGTGAAAAAAGTGCATATGCAGGCCACTGTTTAAAAACATATTAAAGGGGTCATATGATGCTGCTAAAAAGAACATTATGTTGTGTATTTGGTGTAATGCAATGTGTTTGTGTTTTAAGGTTCAAAAAACATTATTTTCCACATAATGTAAATTTTTGTTGCTCCTCTATGCCCCGCCTTTCTGAAACGCGTCGATTTTTACAAAGCTCATCGGTCTGAAAAGCGAGGTGTACACTGATTGGCCAACTATCCAATTCATTGTGAATACCTCAAGCGTGTGACGGAAATGTTATGCCCCTTACTATACTGTGATGATACCCTGTGTCCCGGTGCGACAAGAAAAAAACAATAAAACCCATTACAAACGAGGCATTTGTTGCATCCAGTCAGGACATAATTACTGATTTATACTGACTTATACTGTCTTTTTACTTTTAAACAAAAACAATGTCTGGAGAAAAGACAAACAACAAGCACTACTCTACACTGCTCAAAACTCGCGTTTGAATCATCAGTGGCATATTCTTTAAATATAAAAAAGTAAGTGTAAATACAACTTAACCACTGATTTCTAGTTGTGTCCTCTTTTGGAAGGCCAAACTAAGTAGTTTCGCTTTCACAACGAAACACACAGCGTCACACACGGCGGGTTAGAGTGAGCGGCGGCCGGCGACCTAGAGTGAGGAAAGGAGCGGCGGGCTAGAGTGAGCAAAGTGCACTCTGCGCGAGCACAACGGTTGAGTTAGCGCTGTGGGCGGGCTTGCGGCAACCACATGTGACGACCCTGGGCTGGACTCCGCTTTGTCCACGGTGAAAGCCGATCCGGCGATTCACAGCGCGGAGTTGATGTATTTCCTCAGCGACCAGCACGGATCAGCTCTAGGCATGACGAAGCGGATATCGTCCTCTTTTCGCTTTCACAACGAAACCCACAGCATCTCCACAACATGGTAGACATACCCTAAGTAGGGTACCCTGTAGTAACAACAATACTACAGCGAGGATAAAAGTTACACCTTCTTTCTTTGCGTGAACATTTGGGCGGCGTTATGCAAATCTTCCCACATCGTGACGTAGACATGTGGGGGCGTGTTAGAATGAGCCATTTTAGGTAGGCGTGGTTGACTCTTAACTTTTATAAATAATATCTCTTTGGATTTGAGACTCTTTGCAACTCTACAGATCTTCTTTATGCACCAAGAGCTTGTAAGACTTCAAAGAGAAAGGAAAAATTGAAATCACATCATATGACCTTTTAAACTATTCCCTGTAGGCTAAAATTGACTTGTATTATGCTGACATTGTTTCTTTCATATTTCATAGCCATTTAGTGGTCCCCGGAGCTTCTCAATTCTCTAAACCATTTCCTGCGTTTGCGGTCATATCTTGTGACTAAGGCATCCTGGAGCCCTATGCAAAAAAACGTGTTGTTAGTCTAAGACATAGCTAATGTAGGAATAAATAAATAAACCGAATTGTTAATGTGTTGAAATGCTTGTGTGTACAGTTTAGATCAAGCAAACGACACTGTCGTGTTAAAATGCTCGTCAGTTTCACAAAGCAGCGCAAATTGGCAGTGCCACACCCTCGTGTCAGCAGCTCCAAAATACTGAGTATTCCAGCACACAGACCACAAATACATCACCTCTGATTCCAACTCATCATGACTTATTTTCGATACATGATCAATATATTTTACAACGTGTGACAATTCTCAACCAATTCATAAGCATGTCAGTTATATTAGGCTTTTAATCATCTTGAAAACTGAAGCCAGTTGTTTCAATAAAGTTTTAATAAGTAGATTAGTTATGGGCTACAAGCGCATAATTACATTAATTATGTTCTGTTCGAAACGTACACCAGCATTCATTGTGGTTATGGTCGTTTGTTTTAATTATTCAGATATATTTATAGCGTATTACCAGGGTATGTCTAGAAATAGACTACATATAGTAAACCCACATGCCTTTTTGCGATTGGTCGAGATAGAGTAGGCAAAGAAACCTAATTGGGTGAAATAAACATCGGTCATCTGAAGCCTCTATAGTCCGCAGTGAACATAAGAAGCCCTCCACACAACGCAACTTTCTCCCCCAGACGCTTCGTTTCACTTCATTGGGTCTCAAAGGAAGCCAAAATGAGCGTGAGTACTTTTAAAACACATCGCCGATACATTATTCTTTAGTTGTATGTCAAACGGTGTGTTTAAGATTTGTAAATAGTTAAGACAGCATATGCTAGAATGTCTTCTATTTATCTTAATTTAGCACAAATAATGCATATGTGCTCGTAGCTGCTGAAGTCCGGTGTTTATGGTTATTGATACTGTACAGTAGGCTATGTTGTCTATTTGGTGCATTGTTTAGTTGTTATAGAATAGTGTCTACTGAAGCACCCCCACGTGCATTGTGCATGGGTGTGACCTCCTCATATCTTGAGTGCACTTACTTTAATGCAGCAGTGTTGTTAATTCCATCATCCATTTCTATCATATCATGTTGTACTATAATATTATAATGTTATACATCATAATGTTGTACTACTGTATTTTTGAACAAACAGTTATTATTATTTCCTTAAAAAAAAAAGCAGTGAGACAAATTTGTATACAGTGGGTATAGAAAAGAATCTCACCCCCTTTAAAATAATCACATTTTGTTGCTTTGCAGCCTGAAATGAAGACGTACACAGTTTTTGTTTCATCCAGCTGGATTCACTCAGTGCAACTTATAACATCCAAGTGAAAGATATAACACCAACATGTCAGAAATAAATAAATGAATAAACAGAATCACTGAGTTGGAAAAAGGATCCACTGTGTGCTCAGTTTTTTATTCAGTAACAATGCATTCAATTGACCAAAAGTGACAGTAATGACTTTTACATTGTTACAAAAAAAATAAAATAAAAACATATTTCAATTAAATGTTGTTCTTCTGAACTTCAGATAATGCTCAACAAAAATGTATCACGATTTCTACAAAAATATTAAGTAGCACAACCCTTTTCAACTGTGATAATAATAAATATTTCTTGAGCCCCAAATCAGCATATTAGAATGATTTCTGGTGGATTATGTGACACTCATGACTGGAGTAATGACTGCTGACTGTTTTTTTCTTCTGTAATTTAGTTTCATAAAGTTAAGTTTTATATATGAGCCTTTTCATGAAGCAAAGCAGCCATAATCAAATAACAGAAAGTGAATAAGTTCAGGACAGAGGTTAACTTTGTAGCCTTGGCTATTGTGTTTGCAATACACGTAGTCTGTAACCCTTCAACATTTTAGGGTAATTCATCTTACCTTAACATGTTCAATTCTACAGATGAAGCAAGACTGGCCAATTCATGCCCAACTATGGTCTGAAACCATACGGTACCCAGGGGCATTGAAAGGGAGACATTTAGCTCACTTTCTTGCAAAAGCTCAGCGAAAGCAGCATGACTCAGTCATTCTCAACTATGCTAATCCAAAAGACTGAGCATCACCGGCCAGCTTCCCTTTTGCAGTTAAAATAAGCAGTTTAGAAAGTTCAGAAAGAAAGAATGAGGCAGGTCACACTGCTCTGAGAGTGTCGTTCTGCAGCAGCTTCTGTCTGAGAGCTGGTTTACTGTTACTCACACTGACTAATGTGGAAAGAATTCACCTCTGTTACACATCTGTTCTTTCACATTCTCAGTCTAAGCAACTTTTTCCCTTCTTTTCCTCCTCCTATCTCTCTTTTTTGACCCTCCTTTCTCTCCACTATTCAGCCAGCTGTAGCCTATCTCTTCTGCTATCATTACAACAGCTATAAAAATCTACTTTCCTCGGCAGCTGTGAATCACATACAGCACACGGCGGGTTAGAGTGAGCGGCGGCCGGCGACCTAGAGTGAGGAAAGGAGCGGCGGGCTAGAGTGAGCAAAGTGCACTCTGCGCGAGCACAACGGTTGAGTTAGCGCTGTGGGCGGGCTTGCGGCAACCACATGTGACGACCCTGGGCTGGACTCCGCTTTGTCCACGGTGAAAGCCGATCCGGCGATTCACAGCGCGGAGTTGATGTATTTCCTCAGCGACCAGCACGGATCAGCTCTAGGCATGACGAAGCGGATATCGTCCTCTTTTCGCTTTCACAACGAAACCCACAGCATCTCCACAACATGGTAGACATACCCTAAGTAGGGTACCCTGTAGTAACAACAATACTACAGCGAGGATAAAAGTTACACCTTCTTTCTTTGCGTGAACATTTGGGCGGCGTTATGCAAATCTTCCCACATCGTGACGTAGACATGTGGGGGCGTGTTAGAATGAGCCATTTTAGGTAGGCGTGGTTGACTCTTAACTTTTATAAATAATATCTCTTTGGATTTGAGACTCTTTGCAACTCTACAGATCTTCTTTATGCACCAAGAGCTTGTAAGACTTCAAAGAGAAAGGAAAAATTGAAATCACATCATATGACCTTTTAAACTATTCCCTGTAGGCTAAAATTTACTTGTATTATGCTGACATTGTTTCTTTCATATTTCATAGCCATTTAGTGGTCCCCGGAGCTTCTCAATTCTCTAAACCATTTCCTGCGTTTGCGGTCATATCTTGTGACTAAGGCATCCTGGAGCCCTATGCAAAAAAACGTGTTGTTAGTCTAAGACATAGCTAATGTAGGAATAAATAAATAAACCGAATTGTTAATGTGTTGAAATGCTTGTGTGTACAGTTTAGATCAAGCAAACGACACTGTCGTGTTAAAATGCTCGTCAGTTTCACAAAGCAGCGCAAATTGGCAGTGCCACACCCTCGTGTCAGCAGCTCCAAAATACTGAGTATTCCAGCACACAGACCACAAATACATCACCTCTGATTCCAACTCATCATGACTTATTTTCGATACATGATCAATATATTTTACAACGTGTGACAATTCTCAACCAATTCATAAGCATGTCAGTTATATTAGGCTTTTAATCATCTTGAAAACTGAAGCCAGTTGTTTCAATAAAGTTTTAATAAGTAGATTAGTTATGGGCTACAAGCGCATAATTACATTAATTATGTTCTGTTCGAAACGTACACCAGCATTCATTGTGGTTATGGTCGTTTGTTTTAATTATTCAGATATATTTATAGCGTATTACCAGGGTATGTCTAGAAATAGACTACATATAGTAAACCCACATGCCTTTTTGCGATTGGTCGAGATAGAGTAGGCAAAGAAACCTAATTGGGTGAAATAAACATCGGTCATCTGAAGCCTCTATAGTCCGCAGTGGACATAAGAAGCCCTCCACACAACGCAACTTTCTCCCCCAGACGCTTCGTTTCACTTCATTGGGTCTCAAAGGAAGCCAAAATGAGCGTGAGTACTTTTAAAACACATCGCCGATACATTATTCTTTAGTTGTATGTCAAACGGTGTGTTTAAGATTTGTTTATAGTTAAGACAGCATATGCTAGAATGTCTTCTATTTATCTTAATTTAGCACAAATAATGCATATGTGCTCGTAGCTGCTGAAGTCCGGTGTTTATGGTTATTGATACTGTACAGTAGGCTATGTTGTCTATTTGGTGCATTGTTTAGTTGTTATAGAATAGTGTCTACTGAAGCACCCCCACGTGCATTGTGCATGGGTGTGACCTCCTCATATCTTGAGTGCACTTACTTTAATGCAGCAGTGTTGTTAATTCCATCATCCATTTCTATCATATCATGTTGTACTATAATATTATAATGTTATACATCATAATGTTGTACTACTGTATTTTTGAACAAACAGTTATTATTATTTCCTTTAAAAAAAAAAGCAGTGAGACAAATTTGTATACAGTGGGTATAGAAAAGAATCTCACCCCCTTTAAAATAATCACATTTTGTTGCTTTGCAGCCTGAAATGAAGACGTACACAGTTTTTGTTTCATCCAGCTGGATTCACTCAGTGCAACTTATAACATCCAAGTGAAAGATATAACACCAACATGTCAGAAATAAATAAATGAATAAACAGAATCACTGAGTTGGAAAAAGGATCCACTGTGTGCTCAGTTTTTTATTCAGTAACAATGCATTCAATTGACCAAAAGTGACAGTAATGACTTTTACATTGTTACAAAAAAAATAAAATAAAAACATATTTCAATTAAATGTTGTTCTTCTGAACTTCAGATAATGCTCAACAAAAATGTATCACGATTTCTACAAAAATATTAAGTAGCACAACCCTTTTCAACTGTGATAATAATAAATATTTCTTGAGCCCCAAATCAGCATATTAGAATGATTTCTGGTGGATTATGTGACACTCATGACTGGAGTAATGACTGCTGACTGTTTTTTTCTTCTGTAATTTAGTTTCATAAAGTTAAGTTTTATATATGAGCCTTTTCATGAAGCAAAGCAGCCATAATCAAATAACAGAAAGTGAATAAGTTCAGGACAGAGGTTAACTTTGTAGCCTTGGCTATTGTGTTTGCAATACACGTAGTCTGTAACCCTTCAACATTTTAGGGTAATTCATCTTACCTTAACATGTTCAATTCTACAGATGAAGCAAGACTGGCCAATTCATGCCCAACTATGGTCTGAAACCATACGGTACCCAGGGGCATTGAAAGGGAGACATTTAGCTCACTTTCTTGCAAAAGCTCAGCGAAAGCAGCATGACTCAGTCATTCTCAACTATGCTAATCCAAAAGACTGAGCATCACCGGCCAGCTTCCCTTTTGCAGTTAAAATAAGCAGTTTAGAAAGTTCAGAAAGAAAGAATGAGGCAGGTCACACTGCTCTGAGAGTGTCGTTCTGCAGCAGCTTCTGTCTGAGAGCTGGTTTACTGTTACTCACACTGACTAATGTGGAAAGAATTCACCTCTGTTACACATCTGTTCTTTCACATTCTCAGTCTAAGCAACTTTTTCCCTTCTTTTCCTCCTCCTATCTCTCTTTTTTGACCCTCCTTTCTCTCCACTATTCAGCCAGCTGTAGCCTATCTCTTCTGCTATCATTACAACAGCTATAAAAATCTACTTTCCTCGGCAGCTGTGAATCACATACAGAGAGGCCTTGTGTGATTCATCGTGTGATTTTGCAGCTGCTGCTGACCCAACCTGGCTTCTACATTTATACCAAATCTCTCAAAGATGGCATGGCCACTAGTTTTTAAAGATTGAATGATTAAATGATAGCTCTTCTTGTATCCATCGTCTCAGAAAAAGGGTACAAATCTGTCACTGTGGCAGTACCCTGAAGTACAAAAGTGAAATTTAACCCTGAACGGTACAGTGTACTTTTTAAAGTATAGAGTGTACAAATTACAACGTTTTGAAAGGGTACCACCCCGGTGACAATTTTGTACATTCTTTAGGATAGAACCCATGCAGAGGTTTTCCAATAGAGCAACTGTGCCACATCTGCAGTTTTTTGAAAGTTCAAGTCTGGCACTTTGCCTTTCACCATTGGACTAGGATTTTCCTTTCAACGCATAGGAAAAATTGACAACATTGCTTTTGTGAGGCTGATTCTGTCCACTCCATCATTACAGCTATAATCTCTCCTTGGTCTTATAGGGAAAAGCAGGCACAGTGCCCAGCTGTACAAGTCAAATTTAAGTGGATACACATGTTCGGCTATTCATACCAGTAGTAAAATCAAATTATGCAGAATAAAGAGTAACTTCAGCTCTCTCTGTTTCTAACAGGGTGTGGTTGTGCAGAATTTGTCCTTTAAGACGGGACAGACTCTGACTGTTACAGGAGTCCCCAGTGCTGATTCCACAAAGTAAGTCTCCACTAAGCAACTTCTCAAATTCAGGACTTTAAAAGCACCTGGAGTCATATTTCTCATTTGCTCTTTTGCAGTTTTGCCATTAACATTGGTCACAGTGCCGAGGATATCGCTCTACACATGAACCCTCGTTTTGATGCCCATGGTGACCAGCGCACTATAGTGTGCAATTCATTACAGGATGGAAACTGGTGTGAGGAGCACAGAGAGGCCAGCTTTCCATTTAATCAGAACGAGGAGTTCCAGGCAAGACTCATATATATATATATATATATATATATCGTAATTAAACTGCTGTTTAGCCATAAACTTAAAGATGATAATAATAATAATGAAATTTAATGGCCCCTTATAGCAGGATTTTAATTAACATGCAATTTCTTTTCTTCCTTCAGATAAAAATCACTTTCACCAATGAGGAGTTCCTGATGACTCTTTCTGATGGTTCTCAGATTCGCTTCCCTAACCGTCAAGGCGCTGAGAAGTACAAATATATGTACTTTGAAGGAGAGGGCAGGATCCATGGGATTGAAATCAAGTAGACTAATTTCACTTACTGAGTATTAAGTATCTCAATCACACTATTATCACTTGTATGTCAAATCAGCCTAATAATTTTACTGTGGCACTGCCTATCTAAAACCACTAGAGGGAGCGCAACTACAATAAATTGCCATGAGCGTCAACTAGTTTATTTTTCCTACTACTTTTCTATAATAAAACATTGTGTTCTTAAATCTGGTTTGTAACTAAAGCAAATTCACTAGCTATAAATAAAATAAAACCTGTTTTCACAGATAAACTAAGCATCTTTTACTTGTTTAATGTGTTCAGAGAGAAACATCTTTTGTGTTTATATTTAGTTATGATTAATTATGAGAGAACTGATGGAAAACATTCAGAATGAAACAAAAGCATTAATTCCATCAGGTGTTCATCATACAAACATGTTAAAATATGAAGTCCCACTGCCAGTTTAAAATATGACATGAATGAAATATTTAGTGCATGAGAAACTAAACCGCAATAATTCAACAATTTCTTGATATGTAGAAAACATGAATAAATTATTACATTAAAACAACAAGGCTTAAATGTAGTCATGATACTCACGTCAAATAACTGATGTGCAAGGCATTTTTTTTATTTTTTTAAATTATGGGGAACTTATGGGGAAAACTAAAAAAATGGCATAAACTGTAATTTACATCAAGCGTCATTTAAAAAAGATATATCACTTTGATAGTATCAATTTGTTGAAAATGTACTACCGCTAGACTGACAGTACAATGTATTGTAAAATAAAATATGACATGAGTATCATCAACTTCCAATATATTACTTCATTTAAGTTCAAATGTTTTTCTTTTAATCTGTGCAACAATATCAGTGATCTTCCATAACATTCAGTCTATACTGCAATTGTTTTTCATTGTAAGGAGCAAAGAAATTAACTGATACATATATAAAATGTCTCTTTTTTTGAGCCCTGGGAATGTTGCAAAAAAAACTTGATGTGAGGTTTTGAGAGGAGGCACACAAAGTCCTGAGCTTGAGAGCACATTCTCAAGACCACATCTTTGATCCATCCAATGACAATCAAATTCTACACCAACTCATCTTTCTTCAAAAGGAAGAAGTCAATGCCCTGCATATTTCCTGTACTGCTAAAGAAATATTTTAAAATGCACACTTCAGATCTCAACACCTCTTGGCTTTGTAGGCTTGGGAGATTAATAGCCAGCATAACTACACAGATTATTTTATGTAAACTGGACATGCTATATGCCTCAGATTCAGTCTGGACCTCAGGTAAACTGTTCAGTTTTTTTATTTTAACCTTTGAAATGGCAACTGGTATGAAAGTGAATCACACTTACCACATTAGCAAAATTAAATTAATGTGTGTTTTTTTTACACTGGAGTAAAGTTGAAGTATTATTCCCTATTCCACTCTATACAGTTAAGTGTACACCAGCATTCATTGTGGTTATGGTCGTTCGTTTGCTATGAAGTGTAGTTATGCACTATCAATAAAGTCACCATATGCAACTTACAAGTATGCACTTTATTTTTCAGTGTCCCAACTCCAACTTGTTCCTTCAGCACTACGTCACTGTTGTTATCTTGCATCGATTGGCAGCCAGCTGTTGTTTTCGTCTCTAATTTGCCCTTGTTTTCTCCACCTCTTTCAGTGCTTTATGTTAAAACATCATATTTTATCTGAACTTTTTAACATTGTTTTTTTTAGCTTGTTCTACTGTTTGTCCCATAATACCCCATGCTATAGCCGGACACATACCTTGACCTCCACAGTAAGATGTTTACTAGCTAGTTTAATAGGACAGAAATCACTCAATTTGTATTTGCATATGTTCATTTTCCATTATACGTCATGTGTCAGAAATAATACATGAACCTTACAAAAGAGGAACTATAAGAGGGATTATAAGATGGATTTGCTCATTGGCATTAAAAAAGGGAGAGAACCAAAGATGCCTGTGCAGAATTTCAGTGGTAAGAGTTTTTGTAGCTAATATTAACTTAGTCTAAGTAATTAAGCTAATTGAATATTTAAACCTAAAAATATAGTTGTTCTTGTAGGAAAGTTTGGGCTCCTCCTCAATGCATCGTATAAATGTTGTCATGTCTGGCACACATCCGGTCTGTTTTTCTTCATTAGTAACATGCAATTATATAGGAGGTGTTGGATTTTATTTTTAGCTCCTTGCATTCATTCTTATCGTGTAGATAAAATATTAAGTAAAAATATGGATCTGCAATATAGTGCATACATTTTGCAAAATGCTCCTCTTTATGTTGAAATGGAAATGCCATGATTAACTGTTGCTAACATACTTATACTATTTCTAGTGATTTTACTCGCTTTCTCTGCCTCTCTGGAATTTTTACCATTGGAAATTTTGAATTAAGGACATCTATGATTTACAAACTGACTCTAAATGCAAAAAAAACAAACAAACCTAATTTGTATTTGAATATCTGACCCGCTATGATTATCATAATGTCACACAAAGTTTTTTAAACTATTAATTCAGGAATGTGGATTTTTCTCCAAGGTGAATCAGAATCAGAAGAGCTTTATTACCAAGTATGTTTACACACACAAGGAATTTGACTTGACGACAGGAGCTTCCAGTGTAGAAGAAAGTACAAACATAGTGCAGACATACATGACAGTGCAGACATACATAGGAATAACACAGTAGGGATGTAATATATATATAAAAAACATTAAATAATGTACTATATACAGAAAAAGAAGTATAGGAAAAATTTTTATTGTTTAGATAAATGTACAGATATGTTATTAGTGTGCAGATGTGTTATTTACAAAGTGTGCAGTTTAATATAAATATGTCAGATAACTATGTTAGTTGTGATGGATGATGTATAATTATGAAAAATTAATAGTTCAGGCTGAATATAGCCTGCGGGAAAAAAAATGTTCTTGTGCCTGGCTGTTCTGGTGGTCAGTGCTCTGTCTGCCTGTCTGTCAGGAAGCTGGTGATCCACTGACAGATGGAGGTAGGCACGGAGAGCTGTGTGAGTTTGTCTGAGAGAAGGTCAGGCATAATGGCATTAAAGGCCGAACTGAAGTCCATAAATAGGATCCTTACGTAATTCCCAGGTCTGTCGAGGTGTTGCAGGATGTAATGCAGTCCCACGTTGACTGCATCATCCACAGACCTGTTTGCTCTGTACGTAATTCCCAGGTCTGTCGAGGTGTTGCAGGATGTAATGCAGTCCCATGTTGACTGCATCATCCACAGACCTGTTTGCTCTGTAGGCAAACTGAAGAGGATCCAGCAAGGGTCTAGTGATGTCCTTCAGGTAGGCCAGGACCAGTCTCTCAAGTGACTTCATGACCACAGACGTGAGAGTGATAGGTCTGTAGTCGTTAAGTCCAGTGTTTTTGGGCTTTTTGGGGACCGGAATGATGGTGGAGCGTTTGAAGCAGCAGGGAACTTCACACAGCTCCAATGATCTGTTGAAGATCTGTGTGAAGATGGGGGCCAGTTGGTCAGCACAGACTTTTAAACAGGCAGGTGAAACACCATATGGGCCTGAAGCTTTTCTAGATTTCTGCTTCCCGAAGACCCAATTCACGTCCTCTACACAGACCTTAAGCACAGGTTGAATGGTGGGGGAGGGAGAGAGGGGGGTTGCAGGGGTGGTAGGTGAATGTGTGAAGTGCAGATCAGAGCGGATGTGGGGTGGTAGACTATCCTTTTCAAATCTGGAGTAAAACATTCGGATCATCAGCCAGTTGTTGATTCTCCATAGACTGTGGTGGTGGTGTCTTGTACATGGTGATGTTCCTCAAACCAGTCCATACTGATGCTGGATCATTTGCTGAAAGCTCTTTTCTCAGCTTTTCAGAGTAGTTTTTTTAGCCACTCTGATCTCCTTTGTTAGTCTGTTCCTGACCTGGTTATACAAGATTTTATCCCCACTTCTGTAAGCATCCTCTTTGGCGTGACGAAGCTGGTTGAGTTTCCCAATAAACCACGGTTTATCATTATTAAATGATAAGAATGTCCTGGTAGGAATGCACATATCTTCACAGAAACTGATATATGAAGTTACAGTCTCTGTGAGCTCGTCCAGATCGGTGGCTGCAGCTTAAAAAACACTCCAATCAGTGAGGTCAAAACAGGCTTGTAAATCACGCTCTGCTTCATTAGTCCATCTTTTAACAATCCTTAAAACAGGTTTAGCTAATTTCAGTTTCTGCCTGTTGGTCGGTATAAGATGAACCAAACAGTGATCAGAGAGCCCCAAAGCTGCTGTGTAACAGTGATCCAATATATTGCTGTCTCTTGTGGGACATGTAATGTGCTGCTTGTATTTTGGCAGTTCACGGGAGAGATTTGATTTGTTAAAATCTCCAAGAGTGATTAAAATAGAGTCTGGGTACCTTTGCTCCATTAGCTTAAATTATAGCTTAGCTTACATTTCTGCTTTACATAAATATTAATTCTTTCACAATCTCATAATAGCAAATTGTCAAATACTGGGACTGTTCTGTCTCCGTGTTTGTATTTCCTTTGATCGATTTGTTGTTCTACTGGATGTTAATTCATTGCCATGGAATGTCTTCTGTCATTGACTGCCTGTTTTTCAGGGGTCTGGTTTCCATGGAGAGCTGACATTCTGAGTGTTGAGAGTGGACATGCATAATCGGGAAGGACAGTCTGTATTGGGCATGTGCGTAGAGATGTGCAGTGGTTATTAGCATGTTTTAACATTCACAGAGGTCAGACGGTGGCATTTACCCTAAATCATCGTCTGCAGTGCCAGCCACAGTAATACAGGCAATGGGCAAGACAAGTGATTAGCTGCCTGCCTCTGTTATCACATAGATGAAATAATACTCACTCTTGTGTACGAGATACTGTGATGTGTGACTCTTGAGGAATTCTTTGTTGTGGGAATAAATAACTCGCTCGTAGAGTTATTTATATATATATATATATATATATATTTTTACGCTCTTTTAAGTATTATGATGAATCAGATGGCAGCCAGTTTGAGGAATGGGGCAATCTTAGTGCTTTGTTTTCTTTTCTTTTTTCTTTTTTTATTGCATATATATATATATATATATAATGAAATGTCTTTCGTTCTAGAATAAGCTATATCATTCTGACCAGTTTATCAAAGCA